CAGCTTGCTAGTTCGTTTTTTGGTCCTCCAATTGTCCTGACCCATACAAATGTCTCCACCACGCCACCATGCATTGATATCTTTATAATATGAATGACCTTGATCTTCATCATGAGCAAGAGCGCATAACCGACACCAAAAGTAAGTGTTGATAATGTCACCAGTGCCTTTCCACCTGTCAGAGATCACAGATAATAAATATTAATAATGTAGATTAGGATTTCTGAAAGTAATAATATGAATTTAAAATGTGAATTCCAGAATTAACTCATTACATCCCTGTATCCACTCCAAGGACTTATTTTAAAATAATGTAAACTTCATTTTAAAAAAATGCACATAGCTCTACAAATATTTAATTTCCTTCCATGGATCACAAATGAAGGATCTCCACACACTGTGTTAACTCTTAAGCACTTTTTCTTATTATATAACCCCTTCCAAGTGGAGCATAGGCCCTCAACCAACTCATACCTTTTGCTATCACCTGCAGCTTACTCACCTCATGTCCTCTCCATCTTTTTAAACTGCACTCTCTAGTTATTTTCTGTATGTGTTTTTTCGTCTGCATTTATTCCTTTTAAACTGTGGGTTCAAATGCAGATTTATTTTAGTTTTATTGTTCTGAGGTTTTCTCACTGTGTTTCCTGTCCACTCTCAGTATCTTTCCTCACCTCTTGATGCAGTGAAATGTGTGCACTTCTCTCCCAGAGCTCAACATTAGTGATCCCGCAATACACGTTCTTCCTATTCTATGTAGGCAACCAGTTAAAGAATGTTTGGTTTTTATTAGAAACTGTTGAGCTATTCTCCATGTTTTAGCAAAACTAATTTGACATTTGAGAAAGTTTGCTACTGGTTTTAATTTCCTTCGACTTGCTTTTCAAGTGCTATGAAAATTCCTCTTGCCTTTTGTATTTGTATTTTTATATTTTCTCCTCCATCTGTATCTACATCAAGCATGTGAAACTGAGGGTCACTTGAGGGCCATATGGGTTACATTTGTGTTGTCATGAAATCCACACGTGACAACTAATTCAAGTCATTTAATAAAAATTACTACAGGGTATTTTTTTTATTATGGGGCACAGGTGTGCCTGCAAAGGGTCACATCTTGCAATCTTAGTTTCAGCTTCATAGCAAACGGGTCACCCCATAGTTGCTCCGCTCCTGTGCCAATGAAAAGCACACAGATTGTCCATTCCTGTCCCTTGTGGAAACATTTAGACAGACTTTAGTCTCAGCATGTCCACCAGCATACACATGCATTAAAAGCATAAGGTAGCTATCAGAAGTGCTAACACAAACAATCCAACATTAGAACTGCAGCTCATCAACAACCTAAGCAGCACTTACAAACAGATCAGCAGTTTCTCAAACGGTCAAGTTTAATCACCTAAGGCACCACCAATTCTGTGGCAAGAAGCCACAAGCCATTTTCTGAATCTACAGTACACAACACCCTGTTGATCATACCTGGAAAACATTCCAAATGAAATCTGCAGCTTACAGTGTCTCGCAATAAACTTAACTTAGAAGCTGGGTGACAAAACTATAGCTTTTCAGTCTACAAATAGAGGAAAATGCAATCGCCACCATCTGTCAGAAGCTAAATATTTGCCATTAATAAAAACAGTGACTGTGCCTAAAATCCATTTAGACCAGGTGAGGCCTGTGAGCTGCATGTTTGATTTGCCTGATCTTGATCTACATTACTGCCTAAACTGTTTTATAACTCCACATCTTGGAATAGGATTTCACCAAGACTGATATGATTACTGTTTGCTGGTTTATTCTCATCATCTTTGTTTTCCTTACGAACTTTGAGTCTTATCTGTAATGATCTTTCATAACATTTGGTTAGTTTATCTCGCATTTGATACCATGAGTGCGATATGAAGGAAATGTTACCAGTAAATTCCTAATCTTCAGGCTGTTCTGAGTTGGTCCACTGAGTTTTATTTATGATAAATCTAGTCCATTGTCAGTAAATATGGTAGACGTGTCGAAAGGCATCCTTGTCACACAACTGTTACAATTTCAAATGTATCAGTTTGTCTTCTATCCTGGAGAACTAGACATTCCACATTTTTATATTTTGCCTTTACTAAGTTAATTATGTTTTCTGGGATTACATCACAGAAAAGAAATCCCAGAGATCCCAGAGATAAGAAATAGAATAGGACAGGCAAAAACTGCATTTTATAAAATGAAAAACATCTTGTGCAATATATCCTTGCCATTGAGAGTAAGAAAAAGGATTCTTGCTTGCTACATACATCCAGTTTTAAAATATGGCTGTGAATCCTGGACAATCGGTAGGCAGGCCAAACAATTTCTGGAGGCCTCGGAGATGTGGTTTTACAGAAGAATGCTTAGAATACCTTGGACAGCCAAAAAGAGCAACCAAGAGGTTTTAAAAGAGGCGGGAGCCCGAAGACAACTTATCACAGACATCAGAAGGAGACAGTCATCATTTTTCAGCCATGTTATGAGAAGAGGGAAAATAGAACATGTTGTGACCACTGGAAAGATATGTGGAAGGAGAGATAGAGGAAGACAACGAGAGAAGATGCTTGACAGTCTTGTTGCATGGAATGGAGGTGTGTCGGCACACGAACTGATACATGCTGCAGGAGATTGCAGACTATGTCGGCCCAGTCGGCAAGGCACCTGATGATGATGATGGGATTACATAGTGCTTCATCAATTTTTAGAGAGAATTCCTATCAATGCTGTTGAAGGTATCACTCACTCACTAATATCCTTGCATACCAGAACCACAAATATTAAAATAATTTTCTTTTATAATTTGGGTTTTCTGTTTTAAGTGGCCTGTTTGGCCTAATTCTTAATTTTTTTTCTAGCTTCAGAAATGGGTCACATCAATTCAAGCTTTTTTTTTTAAAGGATTTTTCTATCTTTTTCTTCTGCCATTTATCCTCAAATGGAACAAAGGCTCTCAACTACCACTTGTCAAGTAATCTTATCCTTTGCCATCGCATACAGCTCACTTCACATACTCTCCATCATGTTTATGTTATAAAAAAAAAAAAATTTTATGATGTGCATTGTTTGGCATTCTTTTATCCCTTTTCAATGCTCGCTAGGCAATTGTTTTGGAGACTTTCCTTAGTGAAACATATACTTCATGTATTTCTTACCATTTTCTATCTTTTCCAAATCTTTTGCAGTCTTTTTAGAGCCTTTTTAGACTTCAAGAAAATGAGCTTCTCTCATCTTGGGTAGCTTATTATTATTTGTTTCGTTATTAGATTTGTTTTAATCAGTCAGTTTTAGTTGTAATAGTATTTAACTAGTTAAAGTAGTCAACCAAAAGCATAGCACTCTCTTGGTCACCTCTAATGACATGCAGTGTTACTATTCTTTGCTTTCCATACTTCTTTCAGTCCTATACAACAACGAGTGATGCGTAATTGACTTTCCTTATAAATCCCAGCCATCACATAATGTGTTCACCTCATTTTGCTATTGGTCACAGCACACTAAAAAAATCTGGCTTCCATATTTGCTACTTTGGCTGCATAATTTGCCTGTCTGAATGTTACATCTTTGTGACTTTTTATAGTAGTCATTCATTCCCTTGGGTATTTGCTGCAAGAACCCCTAGGATTTAAAGGGCAATTGGCAACAGGATAAGGGAAATTATATCTTTTGGGTCTTTATTTTTTAACATTCAGTATGACTCATATCTGTATAAATCAGAAGTAAACGTATTATCAGCCACTTCATAATGTAAATTATTTAAAAAAACAAAATATTTTTTTATTCACCTCCAACAACATGGCTGTTAGGGGGCAGTGGGGTTTATTCTTTTCCCCTCCAAAGGGGGCCCTAAAACCATGGGTAACTCTAGTGTCTTGCCTTCTACAATCTACAATTCTGTGTTCTGAATTATTAACAATTTCTTCTTCTTTCTCAAGTTCACTTGTAAACTCCAGCAGAATGTTCTAGTTGTTTATCAACCTCCAGACTTTAGTCTTGTTCCAGAACCTGAGTGTCATGTGCACATCAGTTTTACAGATCTGGCTTATTTATATGCGGACGGTTGGTTCCTTGCCTCTGATGCAGATGTACTCCAACTTCGAAGGATGTCCCAATTAGTCTTGCCTTATACAATCCACAGATCTGTCTGCTCAACTATTACCAATCTGAAAATAAAGTTTGTTTACTTAGTGTATACAGTTTAGGATGCAGAGGTGCTCAGCCACAGCTGGTGGTGCATTAGGATCAAGGTTCACACTGTTTTAGACCTGCCTCCACCTCCCCATGGTCATCCTAGAAACTGGTTTCCAACCGGCAGCCTGGACAATGTAGATAGGTTTAGCATCTATTTCAAAGTCAGAGTGCATCTGTCAGAGAGATAAGAAACGAACAGTCTGCAAACAAATGAGCCAGATCTGTCAAATGGGTGTGCACACATTACTCGAGTCTTGGAACAAGACCAAAGTCTTGAAGTGGATGAACAACCAGGACTTTCCGTCAGAGTTACAGCCGGTTAGCGTGAAGAAGAAAAAGAAGAAGTTTACAGTTCACCTCATATTTTTTAATTACAGAATTATTTGCACCTGTTGATTCATCTTGTTTAGAAATGAAAGTTAGAAATGATATTATCAGACAGACCCTAGGAACAACACCATGGAGAAAATTCACCGAGAAACAGAAGATGAAATGGTTTGGTCATTTAGTAAGAATGCAGTTAGAACAAAAACCAGAGCAGGTGCTACACATGGAAGGATCTGAAGTGAAAGCCTGAGGCTGTCCTAGGAGAAGATGGATTGATGACATTAAAGAGCCTCTACATGGACACGGAATGACAGTAGCCATTGCTGCCCATCAAGCAATGGATCGCAGACTGTTCCTTCCCACAACGCAGAAGTGGAAACTGATGATGATAATGATTAATCTTGTGCAACTGTGTTCTCCTGTAGAACTGAACATGTTTTATTTCAATGTCTTGTTTGTGCACTACCCACAACTTACTGGAAATACTTGTTGTATAAGTCATCATTCTTGTCCAGCTTGTGTAGATAATCAGCCAGATCTTTCGGAGACTCAAAGTCATCCACGTGTATAAAACTATGAGGAGGGGCAGCTCTTTCGTAATCCTCAGGAGCAGCACCCATCACAATTGGTATCACATCATGTCTGGAAGGAAAATTTAGGGCATATGGAACTTAAAAATCACTTTATAGGACAAACAGCTAAAAATAACTTTATAAGGCAAACAGCTAAAAATCACTTTATAAGACAAACAGCTAAAAATCACTTTATAGGACAAACAGCTAAAAATCATGTTATAAGACAAAAAGCTAAAAATCACTTTATAAGACAAACAGCTAAAAAAATCACTTTATAAGACAAACAGCTAAAAAATCATTTTATAAGACAAACAGCTAAAAATCACTTTATAAGACAAACAGCTAAAAATCACTTTATAAGACAAACAGCTAAAAATCACTTTCTTTCTTTCTTTCGTTCTTTCTTTCTTTCTTTCTTTCTTTCTTTCTTTCTTTCTTTCTTTCTTTCTTTCTTTCTTTCTTTCTTTCTTTCTTTTTTTTTTCTTTTTTTCTGTAAGTTGTACATAATTGTTACGATCATGCACCTGAAGGTGTTTTCACCTGCATGGCAAAAGCAAGTAATTTATTAAATTACTAAAAGTAAATACTTAAAATACATATGCAGAAGTAAGGAATGCCCATGCCATCTTTAAAGATAATTACTCCTAAAGTTAAAATCAGCGAGGATAATCTATGATTACATAAGCGGCATAATAAATACACTATTTTAAAGACACAACATTAGCAAGATTATCTAAATATTCAATGCACAATTTGTATCTTTATGACAGCCTAAAAAGTTGGAACAAGACAATATTTGAAACAATAATGTAAATTACATAAAAATCTTCAATAATTACGCAAGGGTTGAACCTAAGGATTCAACCGTTTTTTTTTTTAGTTACTGCTACAACTGCTACAAATGTGTTACAGTATGCAGTGGCTAGTTTCACACCAGTCCTCTTTAGTGATCTCTTATCGTAAGCATTATTGTTTACACCATTCCTAATTTCAGCTTTTTCTTTTTTAATGCACTGTTAAAACATAAAAATGAGCGTAGATCTAAAAATATAAAAAATAAATAAAAATGTAGCTCTAGTCGAAAAGACGAATGATGAGAAAACATTGGACAGATAAAAAATAAAGTAATGAAAATGTTTAGAAAGAAACTGACTCACAAAGAGAAATTATTGCCCACACCAGAAAGAAACAATCTACATTCTTTGGTCATGTAATGAGAAGGAGAAAACTGGAGTATATCGTAACAACAGGAAAGTTGAAGGAGAGGAGAGGCAGAGGGAGACAGAGAGAGAAGATGCTGAACAGTCTGACATCATGGCATGAACGATCATCTGTATCAAAGTTGATCAAAAGTAAACGAGACAGAAGGATGTGGATAGACATGACTACCAAGGCCACACGACATGGACCCGAAGAAGAGGAAGAAGTCACATTAAGCTTGGAATGCAGGGACAGGCCAGCAGGGACAGGCCAGCAGGGACTACAGTGTCAGAAATTTAATAACTGATTCATGACAATTTGTTCCTAGGTCATGTGACTATTTGTGTAGATGGATCTGTGTTGACATGTTGAAGTCATGGGATATATTAAAAAAAGCAAATGGATGACCCTTAGTGCAATAAACCTAGAATTTGATACCAAAATCTAGTTTGAGAATGGAGGTGGAGGCAGTAAACTGCAGCTTTCCATTGGTTTGAGAACCCGCTGTACATGCACATTTTGATTGTAACAAACTCACAAGCATGCTGAGACAGATAGGCTTGCTCCATGCAGTGGAAAGCCTTCCTTCAGAGATCCCATGGAGTTGTCATTTTGGATATTTTCTCCAGAGAATGCAAGGGTGTTGGTGTGTTGGGAAATGAAAAGGCAGGCAGATTGGCTGGATCTGCATCGCTAGGTGGTAAATTATTGAATAACAACTAGATGTGGTCAAGGCCCTCTGGGAACTAGTGAACAGAGCAGAAGTACAAGTATATCATCGTGGTCTGGAAAGATTGGTGCAGCAGGGAGTGACCATGAAATCTGGCCAACACTTATCGCTCAGATATGGTAAGATTGACATACACTAAAATCGACAATGATACCACTGGAATTCTGCACTGGCTGCTGAACATAGGAACAGAGCTCTTGTGGGAACGTCTTGGATACTATAATGTCAGTTCTTAACGCAACTCAGATCAAAATATAATTAATTTGGTGGACAAAAACATAACTTACTTTAATCCATTTATAAAGAATTTTTCTGTTATGTAGTCCCGGCAGTTTGAGTTTTCAAATGATAAATAAAATTTATAATCTCTGTTCAACATTTCAAAGCACTTGTTTGCCTCAAATCTTGGGCATTTCAATTTTCCACATCCACCATAAATATCTATCTGTTGGTAAAAGGAAAGAAATAAATTACATGTACACAACCTGACCCTTGAAAAGCTGTACATAAAAAAAAAAAAAAAACATTAATTTGGTATGCATCTAAACAAAATATAGTGAAAATGACAACAACAACAAGAATAACAATATTTATAGTAATAAATTTTGCAGAGTGTTATCATATTACCACTAGTATTTTATATGATTGTGATAGTTTATTCTTCAAATTGCTAGTTGGTCATAAAAACAACCTTTATTTAATGAAATGCAGATGGATAAATCTATAAAATAAATATCTGTACAAACAAGACAGGAATTAAACAAGCACTGTGATAGATTCATTGAAATAGGTTGTCATCGAGTGGAAAGATCAGGAAGGAAGGAACAGCAAAGGAGACAATTTTTTTCAGACGGCTGAGTGTTTTAAACGAAATATGTGATCGCAATAATGGCTTTAAATTGCCATACTTTTATTGTAGAAAACTTCCTAATGCTCGCTTATCTTTGCTAGTTAATTCCATTGATAAAGGCTGTGATTCTTATATTTGAAGTTTTAAAGTTTAAAGAACGGATCAACCTCATGGCACATGGGTAGCGACCCATAAGTGCTCTGTTTTTCTTCTTCCTCACATCTCAGTTCGAAAACGCCAAACACAGTGCACAGGATCCTGAAATACTTTAAGTAGAGTTTTAACTCCAAATTTTGCCCGGGCAATTCCAACTGCCAAGGGATTTTTTTTACGTGCACAACAATGTACACGGGTGTCCAATCTCACTATCCACGTGAAAAAATCCCAGCCCTTACTGGGGATTGAACCCGGAACCTCGAGCACTCCAGGCGAACACCATGCCACGAGACCACGCAGCCCCATGTGATTCCCGTGCCCCCCTATCTATCTCTATATCCTTTACATGTCACTGTTGACACATAAGACATTCGCAAGCGATTTCCACTGCTGCCGATCTGTCACTTTTCTGCATATGGTATCGAATGTCATTTTACATTGCTTCATTTTCCTGTACACTGCTCTGGGTTTCCTCAGATATTCCAAGTCTCCTTATTCAATCTAGCGTCCAGCAGTGAGCTATCCCTACAAAGAGCCACATGGCATTATGCAGACATGTCCGAGCCATCTTCATCGTCTTCCATTGATAACGTTCAACAGAGATGAAAACTGTATTTTTCTCCTCAGTTTTTCGTTTGTAATCTTGCCTGGCTAAAATATTCACATGATTCTCTTTAGATCGCCACACAACCCACTGTAATACTATCACCCGGAAAGACCGGAGCATGTCTATAGATGCTATTTTTTAAAATCATGTTTCTGTGTGTCTGTTTTTATTTCGTTAGATGCTACTGAAATTGAGGCCATCCTTGTAATTAAAAACGTTTGATCCTAAAGAGTAAGCTAACATTGCAAATCACAGAAGTCATGTTTAACCTCCGAGGTTATTATCATTAGGGTACTCCTAATGTCTACTGGTTGTGGTGAACAAGTTGCAAACCTTAACCACAAAGTTGTTTGGACACCCATCTCTCACTGATGCATTCGTTGCAAGGAACTGTGATGACGTGTTTGATTGCAAACAGACCACCATTACCACAAGGATAAAAATATTTTTTTTTGCATGAAGAAAGTAGCAATGATATGAGCTATAGTTATCCTTTATCTATGTGGGTATTTCATCTTTCTCATAAATTTTAAAAAGGAAATATTATAAGCCAATAGAATAGAAACAAGTAATTGACTGACGGACCACATAAAATACACTGTTCATTCAACTGTTGCACTGTAAACTAACAGAAGAAGAAAAAGAAAAAGAGGAGAAGAGGTAGAAGATGATAATGAAGAAGCATTTGATGAAGAAGAACAAGAAGAAGAAGAGGAGGAAAAGGATGAAGAAGAACAATAAAAACTAAACAAATCAAATATTTAATAATTTCAATACCAATTTCTTTGCGACACGATTTTTATTCCATTCCTTCTCAATTTTATTTTAACTGCTCCACTTTTTGACCTTCATTTCCGTGTATTTCTAATAATTAAAAAAAAATTTTGAAAGACTTACCAGCCTCGTAATATAAGTTTTCCGATAGAAGAATCGAAGAAGAAGAAGAAGAAGAAGAAGAAGAAGAAGAAGAAGAAGAAGAAGAAGAAGAAGAAGAAGAAGAAGAAGAAGAAGAAGAAGAAGAAGAAGAAGAAGAAGCAGCAGCAGAAGAAGAAGAAGATGAAGAAACAGAAGACAAAGAATACGTAGAAGAAGAAGACAAAGAAGATGAAGATTATTCAAAGCAATTCCCTATAGTTATTCGAGAACAAAATTATTAGCAATAAAGAAACTACGTATTCATGGCAATACAAAATTCCGCTAAGCAACAGCGCCTTCTTCAATGAATGCTTTTTGATTTACCTCAATATATTTTGCCAGCTCATTAGCATACTGCCGCCTGCCATTTCTGGCCCCACAGTTGGATACAAACCAGGCCACTTTTTTGGTTTTCCCGTCTGCATAATTCCGGTTCTGAGGTTTGGTCAGGATGCTGGCATTAAATGGCACAAATTTCTCGTAGGGTGCAACAATGGTCGAGTCATGGCGGTATGTTGCTGTCCAGTTAACAAGATCTGTTAGAAGAGTGACACAGTATTGGCATTACATTATCCACGATGCAATATTATCCATAGCATAAGATTATTCTCAGCATAGTCTGATTGACTTTCTACCCCACCAGGACATAACACAAGCGATGAACACCCGATGACACAATGTGCCACCATGTGGGTGAGGATCACCGTGGCGAGGTCCCAGAAACCGCGTTCAGCCTTTAGACCATATTTATGGCCAGGCTATATTGCGGCTCCTGGCAAGAGCCAGAGTAGGGCTTCAAAGAACGAAAAATTGCATCCTAAAAAGGACGAGAAGTTAAACACTTCTCAGCTTAAGGGTACTGACCGCACAAACCATAAGATTACTCACAGCATAACAACACTCACAGTAAAAGATTACCCATTATAAACGAATTCCTGTAAGAATCATATGACAAATTACCCAAGACTTGTGATTAACTGTGATATTTGAATACCATGGCGCAACATTTTAGAGGGTGGTAAGCGCAGGTTTTCCGTGGTTTCTGCACTTTAGCGCGTTTCAGGTTTTTGCGCTTTCAGATAACCTTAACCCTAACTGTAACCAAAACTATACGCTTAACCTACCACCCCCTGACATTTTTTACTGTCCCGCGACCTGTGGTTTTCCCCTGCTTGTGGTCGGCTAATAAGAAAGTATCCATAATTGTTAAATATAAACAAAATACCTTATTTCACCCACCTGGGTTATAAATAGGATAACAGTTTTGTGTGTTTGTATGTGTATTTTTTTTTAAATTGCTGCCTCTATTTACCCCTTTTATAGCGGTGCAAGACAAGATTTATGGGCTGCATTAAGTCATTTGGAACGAACTGTATAGGTTATAAGGTTTATTTTCTGTAATTTTTGAAAGAATTTTATTTAGGACAAATTTAATGTGCATTGCGTATCTTTCTGTGTGAATTTTTTTTTTCATTTGCAGCAGAGGATGTTTATTTTCCTAACTTGGTACTGACACACAAACAAATACAATACAGCTTGATGCAACAACTAAATCAGCCAACAGATTAGGTTGTACTGAATTTTGGACCAGTGGTAGATTATAGACAGCAGCTCAGAAATGACAGCTTAATTCCAGTTCTCGTCTGGGCTGAACCAGTTAGCTCCAGTCTCAGCAGGGACATCTGGGGTTGCAAACCAGGCATCCATCTTGGGGACATTCCATTCGTCAGCTACTGGAGGGAAAGCCGGGGGCCAGAGAACCACTGCCGGCACTGGGACATCTTCAGATGCCCAATGTCTGACATCATGTGCTCCAACAATACTGGGTTCGCCTGGCTAGTCTGATTGAGGTGATGGGATCTCATCCTTAGCCCTCTCAAGTGCCTCCTTTTCTTCCTTCTCAACTTCCTCTGGGTCGCGGTAGAAGAGGAGATCATGCCATGGGTGGTCACGGGAAATGGTGCCCCTCAGGCGCAGAAACTCACGAGACAGGAGCCACCACATCAGACCAATCGACTGGGTACCCTTGTTGTTGCATGGTTTCTGTGTGAATTTAAACCGTGTTGACATTCGATTTGTTTGTTAGTTGACGTGCAGGGGAAACAACAAATTCCATATTTACACTAATTTTAAGTACAAATTATGGTGATAATGCTGGTGATGAAGACGATGACTGTAGTGGTGATGGTGGTCATGATGAAGATACTGATAATGATAATGACGACAACGTAAACTTGGGATTTGCAAAACTTGTAAATATAATGATGCGCATTTATTCATGCGCACAGTACAATGCTCTGTGGCTTATGCGTTGCGAACGCGATTAGTAATGCCGCGTTCAGTCCCAGCTGCGGGCCTCGCGCCTTGCATTGGTTTCGACAGTGGTATCGATAAGCCAACTGTCCAGAAAGCAATGGCCAACGACTGGACTAAATTTGCCTTAAAAAACCCGCCAAAAATGATGGGGTTGGTTCTGTAAGCCCTGTAAAGAATACACAACTAACTTTAACAGTACAGTGCAAGTATTATATTATTGTCATTATTGCCGTAGACACTTCTGATGATGATGATGATGAAGAGAAAAAAACTACATTTCAATCAATATTTTCTTCCTATTAAAAAAAAAAAAACATAATTTTATGTGACTGGAAGAGCTAGAATGCCTCTATTAACCGACTTAGCTATTGAGTCCATTCAATGATATCACCCGTAGTCAATCGTTTTCTCGTTATCTCGTCGAGTAATATAAAACTACACGGCCAGGCAGGTCAAATGACTGCATGTTAGTTTTCTAACTGCAAGACTAGACCTGCTGAATTACCGCATGCTGGCTTCTAGCGGGGAGAGAGAATCATAAATAGACACTGTTTATTCTGTAGCACTATTAACAGACTTTAAAAGGGGAGGGAACCGGGGTGAGAGCCTTAGTAGGAGGTCGTTTAATGTGTTTAAAAAAAGATGGATAAAGCTAGATTTTGTGCCCCTGGCATGGGTTTCGAGGCCCCATTTCAGGGAAGGAGGGGGTTGGGTATAGACCTACTGTCCCCCTACAAGCATGACATTATAAGCGCCTAATTAAGGGTTTGTTTGGATGGAACGTCCTGAGCCGAAAGGTGCAGACATCTACCCCCTAGCTGTAACAAGTTGCAATAAGCCTGTAACGACAGAAAGAAAACATGTTGTGAATAGAGCGCTCTAGAAAACTACAGGAAAGGATGAAACAGTAAATCACAAAAACTTCTTCTTCGCGTTCACCGGCTGCAAACTCCGGCGGAAAGTTCCGGTTCTTCGTCCATTTCTTGGCACAAGGTTACGGGAGTTTTCCGCAATGCCATTGATTTTGCGTTTTGTATATTTCAGTACGCCAGCACTTTAACACTCCAAAAACATGGACAAACTGGGTCTAACACAACCGCCCCACCCCCCAGAAAGTGCTGCAACCTATGTCAAAGGCATTCTTTTTCTCGGAATAAAAACGTAAATACAAGACAATCCAGAAAAGCAAACACTAGAGAGGTACACCCGTAACTTGCGGGAAAGTAGACCAGCCCAACAAACTTATGAATGAAACGTGACCTACTTTGTTTGGGGAGACTAACTTAAACCTAACCCAACACTGAACCTTTATTACCATTATCATCAAGTGTCCTTTCAGCTGGCGTAGGCGTTCATGCACCTCCATATATCTCGGTCCTGGGTGTTCTGGATCAATTCCACTGATGATGTTCCTCCATGTCACTGTCTTAAGCCATCCACCATCATTTCTCTTGGTCTGCCTCTACCTCTTCTACCAGTGATCTTTTCGGTAGTCACGATATTTTTCAGCGCTCCTTTTCTCATCTCATGACCAAAGGGGCTGCGTGGTCTCGAGGCATGGTGTCCGCCTCGAGTGCTCAAGATTCCTGGTTCAATCCCCGGTAAGAGCTGGGATTTTTTCACGTGGACTTGGACTTCTAGTAATTTCGCCTAGTCTCTGGGTAATAAGATCGGACGCCCGTGTGCATTGCTGCGCCCGTAAAAAAAACACCTGGCAGTTGGAAATAAAAAAGAGTAGCCTAACGGCGCTGCCCGGGTAAAATTTGGAGTTAAAAATCTACCCAAAGTTTTTCAACATTCTCGCCGGTGCTACAGAGCCTGTGCACTGTGATGAGCTTCTTCAGACTCAGACTTGAGTTAGAAGAACGGAGCACTTATGGGTTTCTACCCGTGTGCCATGGTGTTGATCCGCTGTTCAAACCTCAAATCTCATCACATGACCAAAGAACCGTGTTTGCCTCCTTCTCGTTGTTGTATATAATGTTCTACATACTGAGGCAAATTTGCTCTTAAACGTCTTCTATCCATAGCTTGCTTCGTTTTGCCTCTTGCAGACAGTGACAGTCCGTCTTTCGATGTCTGATTCCTATGGAGGCATGCTGTAGATAAAGGGACAAAGAGGATACGACACGAGTATATCACGGTTCTGTCCTATGGCATAAATGCACATTTTTAGATGTCCAATCATCGAATGATTTCCCATTTGGGTGGTGATGTTCCGAATTCGACCATCAAACCTCCCATTTTGTGACAGACAAGCATAACATGTCCGTAACCACTTGCTCCAATCGTCGGAGTGTCGGGACCAAAGTGAAAAGCTATGCCCGAAGCATGCTGCTCGGATACTATCGTGCTAAGATGTTTTGACGCAGCAACGTTAAAAATGTCTAATGTGCTAAAGGAGATGGTGCCCATTTGCGTGGTCATCAAAGTTCGGAACCTGCTGCGCCTCTGATGTGCTCTCCAGGGGCAACAGCTGAAGATAAAGGGACAAAGAGGATACCACACATTTAAGGTTACGTAATGTCCCACGAAACAAACCGTGTAGGCTAACCTGGTGAACAAAAACCTAATGAAGTCTGATGTGTCGGCCGAAAGGCACAAATATTGTAGCTATGATGCAAACAGGCACAATGCAATTACGCCACTTGAACGAACATGAAGAAGAGGAAGAAGAAGAAGAAGAAGAAGTGTACACGCTGATTAGGAAATGTGCTCTTATAAAAAATACACTGAATAGCAAATTTCAAGGCAGCCAAGTAAGATACAAACAGCAAAACAAATTGGAAGATAATACTGGGACATAATTAACAGCTGTCTGAAGGAGTGCATAACCAGCCACAAAGATCCACTGCTGCAACCTTCACCGGAAAGACGACACCTAACTGAATGACTGAATATTCAGGCAGAAATCAAAAGCCCATAGTTGCAAAGAATTAAAGAAATCTAACGCATGTAATTTATTCCAGGATCAAAAACTGGACCCACACACAATGTTTGCTCACGGTGCCGCAAACCGATGGTAACATTTAAAATGCTCGCAAATTCAACAAAAGACTCGGTTTATTGTTTAGAATAAACTCCTATCTTCTATGCAAAGAAAACATCACCACAGGTAGTAACACCCATAGTTCATTCTTTTTGGTGAACAAGAGAGAGGAAGGTTGCGGCTGGGGCGTTGTTTGGGGTGGGGAGGGGGGGGGGGGCGGAAACGGGGTTAGGGTTGGAAGGGATTCTGTTGATTATCAGACCCTAAGCAGCTTCAGGGTAAAATCTATAACCGTATACTGTTTGAACAGAACATTTAAAATGGTTCTATGGAATTTAGAGTTGTGATAACACAAGTCACGACAACCCTCGGGGACGAGAAATAATATCAAAGGTTCACATAGACGATTAAAAGCTGAGACAACTAACGAAATTTCCATATGCTAATGAAGCAGAAAGCTTTTACTAACCAGATGGTAAAATTTAAGGGTCCTGTTAACCTGTTAACGTTTCTTGGCCCATTTACACACTGTCTGACCTTTCATTCCTACTTTCTCAGACTCTTCTACGTGGGGGGGGGGGAGGGGGGGGGGGGTGTGATGTCACGTTGTCTTGTCTCCAATTACATCTGCGCCGATGTCGCATGTTCTACACTACACGACGACACAGCTTTGAACGAATTCAGAACATTTAGAACCGGCCCTAACTCAAACCCGTCTACCCACAGCCGGAGCCTAGGTCATACGACAGACTCTTTTCAAAGAAAGCAGTACAATGTGACAGCCCTCTGACCTAGATAAAACTGAGAAAGTGAACAGGTCAAACTTAGGTTCTAGGGTTCAAATTCGTACTGAGACGGATTTCCCCCTTCAAATCGGATCTTTGCTCCTTGGTCGACCAAGGCTAACAAAGAATCATGAATATTGCGTGTTCAATTAGGTTTTGACATCACAGCATCCTGGGCACTCCCATGAGTGCTCCGTCCCCATCTTTAACAGCAAACGAAAAACTCTAATTTCGATGGTACCAGTAACTGTCTGATCGTACATCCGTCTCGCCTTTCTCTTGAGTGTCGAGCATCGGCCAGATCCCCTGGTAACTTCCCGCAGCACCATTCTCCTCCATTTTATTTGTGCCTCCGCACTGTTCACTCGCTCCCGAAAGGCCCTAAAAACATCTAGCTTGTCAACAGCCGACTGTATTTATAGGCCAACTAGGCCAAGGGGTCAACTGGAGAAGGCGGTGGCTTGTCATACATCAATTTACCACTAAGTGGTGCAAAACCGGCCAACTATCTGCCTGATCGTTTCCCAACACAACAGCATGACCTGGAGAAAATAACCAAACGACGCTGACTACAAGCCTAACATATGTATAAAGTAATGTCACGGAAATTAAAGACAGCCTGTGAGGTGTTGCCAAAATCACACATGGAATGCTGCCTGGTCTATAAAGATATTATGGTTCTTTTCTGTTTAGCGACCACTTCTTGCGTGATTTAGGTAAATTCTGTATTATAAGGGGGTTAGGGTTAGTAGTAATCGGCCCTCATTTAAAACTAACCCTAACCCTAAAGTTAGTTCCGTATCCTTTACAGGACGTTGCAAAACCAACCCCAGCATTTTTTGGCTGTTGTAGTTTTTCTAGGCAAATTTACATCCAGTAGTTTGCCATTGTTTTCTGGACCGTCGGCTTCTTGATACCACTGTCAAAACCAACGCAAGGAGCAGAGCCCGCTTTTGAGATCGAACCCGGCACCCCAGCATTACAAAGCGCGTATGCAACGCCTAAGCCACAGACGCCTAAAACTAACACACCTATAATATGGGATGTCGTTAAATCTAGCCTAGTGTGGTCGCTTAAAAAAAAAAAAAAACGAAAATAGTCTATTTTATATATGCCTGAATATCTAATCTGTAACTAAGTAACCGTTTGGTGTTTTTGTTAAAATTTACCATGCAACCTGTTAATAATTATGTTATTGTAAGATTTTTCTTTTCTGCAGTGTAAATACATTTGTGTAGTTCATTCCAGATGTTGTGCCAAATTTTAAAAATCTGTACCTCATTCATTAATCTCTGGGTGTAAATTGTTGAAACTGGGTATGCAACTGTTAATAAAAATGTGTAAAGAAACAACCTCCTGCTGCTGCTGCTGCTGCTGCTGCTGCTGCTGCTGCTGCTGCTGCTGCTGCTTCTTCTTCTTCTTCTTCTTCTTCTTCCTTCTTCTTCTTCTTCTTCTTCTTCTTCTTCTTCTTCTTCTTCTTCTTCTTCTTCTTCTTCTTCTTCTTCTTCTTCTGTGACTAGGCTATGTACGCTCTAACAACTGGCCTAGGATTGCAGGACACAAAAGCCCTGAAAGGTGCTGTGTTGATGCAATCGAAGGAGAAAAACCCAAATACTGTGCCGACCGGCGACGAAGTCGTCTACCAGTGAGCCAGTGGGCGATCCGGTCACCGAAGTTTCACGTATTTTTGTTGTCTCTGTGTTCTGTGTCCGGAATTAATGTAAATAATACTCCACATTAACAAGACAATAAAACGAGACGTTAACAACATTAGTCAGGTCAACTCACCAGCAAGAGGTCCAAGTCCTGGCGTGTGGTAGGGAGACTCCAACAAATAAAGAAGCCACTTC